TGACCTGTGGCCATGTCTGTGGGGCATCTTCTTGATTGTTGAGTGATGTGGGAGGGCCCAGCCCACTGTGGGTGGCGCCACCCCTGGGCAGGTGGGCCTGTGTAGCATAAGCAAGCAGGCTGAGTAGTGGTCAGGGGAGCAAGCCAGTAAGCAGCGTCAGCGTTCCTTCATGGCCTGTGCTCTAGCTTCTGCTGCCAGGCTCGTGCCCTGAGTTCCTACCTTGGACTCCCTGATGAACTGTTGAACTGTGACCCGGGATATGTAAACCGAATAAACTCTTTCCTCCCAGAATTTTTCTTGTCTCTGACTCCCCAGCCCTAGGATTATAGGCACACCATCATGTCTAGCTTTTTACATGGGTGCTGCAAGCCAACTAAGTTCAGTCCTGGGATTCCATGCAAAGATGTAGAGAACAGACTTCACAAATCTCTTTGACCTTCACATAAGCAGCACGTGGGTCTACATACACACATTACACACACATCAAAATGAAACACACCCTCCCAAACCTCAAAACCCCACAAAAACTTTAAAAACCATTTTCACCACTTGGTGGTGCTGTTGGGCCAAACATACCACTTTAACACAGCTGTTCCCTCTGTATTACAGGTATTGTAGCTTTCTCTGGCTGGGACTTTGAAACAATACTGGTTCATTCATAAAAGTCTTCTTTAAATACTAAAGAAAAAAATTTCTTTAAATGGTACATATCTCTGAAACCTAGTAAATGAGTTAATTAAAAAAAAAAAAAAAAAAAAAAGCCAGGACAGGAACTATAGCTCAGTGGAAGAGTTGCAGATCCCAGGTTCAATCCCAGTACCCACAGGATGGCTAGCAACCATCTGTAACTCTAGTTCCAGGGGCTCCGATGTCCTCCTCTGTCCTGAGGGCACTGAAGGACACCGGTACACTTACATACATGCAAGCAATACACTCATACACATAAAATAAAAATAAATTAGAAAAAAAAGTGAGATGCCAACTCCGTGTATCTACTATTTATTAGAATGGCTACCGAGAGAGGGACCTGGGTGTTGGAGTGAGGCTGACTTTGATCTTTCCTATTTTGTCTGGCTTTTGACTTCTGTGGTACTGGAAACTTGTTGATCCAAGGTCTCCTAATACTCAGTAAGCACTCTTAGCACTGAGTCACATCCCTAGCCCCACATTTCAAATACTATCACAAAAACAGATGTTCTATTAAAAACTCTCAAGAAGCGGGTTGTAGTGGCCCAGCACTAGGGAGGCAGAGGCAGGCGGATCTCACTGAGTTTTAAGGCCAGCTTGGTCTACTTAGTGAGTTCCATGGCAGCGGGGGCTACAGGGAGACCCTGTCTCGAAAAGACAAAACAAAAAATACTTAAAACGGCCTGGTGTCATGGTGGTTCTGTGTATTAAATCGCAGCTACAAGGCAAGTGGAAGCAGAATTGTCAAGTTCTACATCAGCCTGGACAACCTACCAAAACTGCTTGCCAAAAATACAAAAACAACGGCGAGATAACTCCGCAACCCGAAGTGCCGGACTGAAGAACGCCGCCTCCGGCATGGAATACAGTCGGGTGGGTTTTCGGTCCGGCCCTTCTCACGTACTTCCGGCTTCGAGGCCGAGCGCAGGTCCACCAAGGACCCCGTAAGGTGAAGGGCCCCACAGAGGTTGCAACGCGCTCAGAAGCACGCCGAAGCGTTCAGAAGCTCACCCGCGTGCCAGAGTCTCAGAGCCGTTTCTGACAGCCTACTCCAGACCACGGCGTCAACATGGCGTGCACATTCGCTTTAACTCCTCCAGCCTATCAAAGTACCCGCCCCTCGGCAAGGCGTCGCGTGGTAATAGTCGCTCGGGAAAAGCCGCCATTACAAAAACCTATAGAAAAAAATCGGGTCTCGTCAGCTGGTAGAGGATCACGGACAGAGAAAAAACGAAAGGTGAAGGAACTAAAGCCCCTAGCAGGTGAAAGAGAAAGGGCGTTCGTCACTGTCACGTGGCCTAGCAACCTCGAAGGAGGTGGGCGTTAGGTGACCAACGGCAGTCCGCGCTTCTCAGTCACGTGATCCAGCTCGCGCTCAGATCCCCACGTGAATTTCACTCCTCCAACCCACTAGGCGTAGGGCAGCGTCGCATCATTACCCCGTGAACTTATCCCCAGCGCCTACCTAACACCCACCCCGCTCCCTTCTTCCTCCCACCCCCTGGGGGCTGGACAGAACTGGCAACGTCACTATGTTTAGCCACGCCCTCCCCAACGCCTCTCGCCCCTCCCATTCCCTGAGGGCAGGGCGGCCGTGCAGCAGCACGTGACTCTGAGGGGCGGGGCTCGGCGTCACGTGTCCCCACGGCTTCCCTGGCGCGCACCCGCCAGCCCGCTCGCCCCCGGCCCCGGCTCCTCCTCCTCTTCTCGCCATTGCAGTTGGTACTGGAGCAGCCCCGGCGTGTACCGAGTGGCTTTTTTTTTAATTTTTGAGAGGGAGGTTAAATACCCCGGTGGGCTGGTGGCCGGAGGGCGGCGGCGGCGGCGGCAGCTGAGAAAGGGGGACGCCGACAAGGTAAGCCGCAATGTGGCGTATCCCGCCTGCGCCCCTCCCCCCGTCCCTGCCCCTCAGTTGTCAGCGTGGGCCGGCCTGAGGGGACACGGGTGGCACGACTACTGCCACCCTGCCAACCCTCCCCTCCGCTCGGTTCTCCCCCGCCCCGCACCCTCAGCGTCTCGCTCCTTCTCCTCCGACCTCGCTCCCGCGCCTGGCCGTTACTCTCCCCCATTGTGCACTGGAAACAAAATGGCGACGGCTGGGCCCCGGTGCGCGCGCATCCATTCCCCCCGTGCGCGGCCCCCTCGGACCAGGCCGCTGCGTCGGGGGTGGGGGTGGGGGGGATGTTGCACGCGTACTGTGTGTTCCCCTCCACCACCACCCCTTGGCCGCTGCCTCGCTCTCCCCTGCAGGCTTTGCTTTTGTCTGTTGCTACATCCTGGCGCACGCGCGCACGTGCCTGAAGCACACACCCCCCTCGCATCCAGAGCATCCCAGCTGGGACAGCTGGGGCGATCCCCCTCCGTCATCCCGTTTTTTCCTTTGTCCTGCTCCCTTACTGCATCCCAGATTTTTCCCCGGTTTCCAAGGCGGGAAACATACTCTCTTTTGTCTTCAACGGTGTTAGCCTATTCGAATCCCTTCCCCAGGTGGTCCCGCATTTTGTTCATCCCTGGGTTCTCACGGCCTAGCTCTGCAGGTATCCCTCAGATCAAGACCCAAACTTAAGAATGAGCCTTTGAGCTTCCTGTTTTTTAGACCTGGTGGTTTTCATTGATACTGCATGTTTTCCAGAGTGCTTAGACTCTGCGTCCAGCCCTCCTCAACAGTGATGTGTGTGATATTCTGGGGGCTCTGTATTCTACAGGATTGACATACTTAAAGTCTTTTGAACAAGTGTTTTTATTTCTTCAGGCAGTTGATGAGGATTTTCCTCGGGTTAATTCACAACTTGCAGGAGTTACTCGCAGTGTGTTATGATTTGTGTGTCCTGTGTCATCTCCCCCCCGACCCTCAAAGTAATCCGTCTCTTCCTAGTATTTGCAAAATTGCTGGTAAGTTGCTGCTTAGGCACGTGGCAGATGAGCAAAGCAGCTTCATTTTCAGGTTCTGTGCTAAGCCTACCTCTTGGCATTCAGGTATTTTCAATGTCTCTGGTTCTTCATTGATGCTAATTAAAATGTTTAGTATGATGACATTGGGTCCACAGGAAAACAAGAGATGCCATCCAAAGTGAGTGTTGAAGTTTAGAATTTTTCCAGTGTCTTTCACCCAAGTCTGGGAACCCCTCTGGATTGCTCAGAGGATGGAGTTTGGCCTCCCAGCCTATGAATGGAGTGTGGGAACTAGAGCCTCATGCACAACTGGAGAGGAGCAAGGTTCCAGCATACTGTCCAGGAGAGCTGAGGTCTTGGCTCCTGACAGGAAGCTTACAATGTACATGACTTCTGGTGACTGAGGTTTGTGAGTGGAATCTGCAGGCCCTGGGTGCTGGCTCGCGGAGACTGCAGTGGAGATTACAGACTGGTGATCAGTGAGTGCTAAGCTTGGCCTTGGCAGCACGGGGCTCTGATTTATCATTCTATCTGCTGGAAATTTGGACCAGCCTGGGAATCACTCTTCTACAGCTAAGATAGCTCCTGATGGTTTGCAGTTTTCATTGTTTCTTTGGAACTTGGTGGGTACCTGTAGGCAAAAATTCCTTTGGTTCCTTTTAGTGATGTTTTGTAGGCTAATGTTCCTTTGTGGAGTCTGTGGTGTTCCTTATTTTTATCAAGTTCTTCCTGTTGTCCTCTAGCCAGATATCTCTGCTTTTCCGTGCTTTTTTTTTTTTTTTTTTTTTAAAGAGGGTCTTGCTGCATAGGCCAAGTTGGCCTTGCACTTGCTGTTCTACCTGAGCATGGGGGTAGCTGGGTTACTTCTCTGTGTGTGCACCAGCACTGCCAGCACTCTTCCCAACTTTCTGCTTTGGAGAAGGCGTCCAGGTATTATCAGAAGCTTGTGCCGGAGAAGGGGCAATCTGGAAGTTGACCCTTTTTGCCTGTGGGTTAGCAGCATCTTGTCTGTTTCTGCACTGGAGCAAGATGGGGGAGATGTTCTCTCTGGGATCCGGCAGCTCCCTTGGCTCTCTCCTTCTACCTAGGCAGGATCTCATACTTTATTTAGCCCAGGCTAGCCTTAGACAGCCTCTGCCTGCCGAGTGCTGGGATTACAAGCTTCAGTCATCACGCCTGGTCTTGCCTTTTTGTTTTGTTTAATTTTTTTGAAATAGGGTCTCCCCATAGCCCCAGGTGGCCTGGCACTCAATAAATCTCACAGAGATCTGCTTGCCTCCTCAGTGCTGGGATTAAAGGTGTGCACCCCACACCAGCCCTTGCCTTCTTTTTTTGATTCTAATTCCTTTTCCTGGCCCAGGGTTTCCCTCAACCATCCTGCTGCTTTTACTGTTAAGAGATACATTTACTTCCCTCAGAGTCAGTCTGTGCAGCATTTTGTCAGTGCTTTTTGTGCCATTCAGAAAGGATGTGTGGCTCCTGAACTTACAGCTTCTTTTTTTCTCTCTGAAGCAGGGTCACATGTTTTAGCCTCAGAACCTTGATTCTTTTGACCTAGGTTTCCCAGTGCTGGGGGTGCCATCCTCAGGTTGGGACCTTGCTTTGATGGGGTCTTTAGGGGATTAGGACTCTGTTTTGAGGTGCTATGTGTTGCGTGCTCCCCTTACCCCCTTTACCCCATCATTACAAAGCCAGGGACTTTGGGATTTGGTTACTGTTTCCAGTGGTTTAGAGTAAGAGCAGAGAGAAGTTTGGCTGGAATATGCATGTGAGTGAAGAGGGTGGGGGCCTGAAGCAAGTAGGTACATTCTCTGGGGTGAGTCACCACCGACACCAGGGAAGATAGGGGCATCAGGTGTACCTTTTCTCAAGACAGGTTTCAGTAGCCCAGAGTTGTCTCTGCCTACTGTGTACCTTAGGATGCCCTTGAACTCCTGATCCTCCCTGCCTCTGCATCTTTTTTTTTTCTTTTTTTTTCTGGTCTTTTTGAGACAGGGTCTCCCTGTAGCCCCAGCTGACCTGGAACTCACTATGTAGACCAGGTTAGCCTTGAACTCACAGAGATCTGCCTGCCTCTGCCTCCCAAGTGCTGAGACTAAAGGCGTATGCCACCATGCCTGGCTTCTGCATCATAAGAGGTGCTTTTCCTTTACTCCCCCATTTATATTTATTTTTATGTGTATATGAGTGTTTTTGCCTGCATAACACCATGTGTTTGGAATGCCCACAGAGGTCAGAAGAGGGCATTTGGATTCCCTGGAACTGGAGTTACAGGCGGTAGTCATCTGCTGTGTGGGTTCTGAGAACTGAACCTAGGTCCTCTTCAAGAGCAGCCAGGGCTCTTAACCACTGAACCAGCTCTCTGGCCTCCTATTTGTGTGTCTTATGTGAGGATGTGAATGTGTGTGAGGGTGGTGTGTATGGAGGCCAGAAGACAGTGTCCAGCATGTAGTCCACCTTGCTCTTTTTCCTCACCAGCCTGGAACTCACCCGGTTAGGCCAGGCTGACTGGCCATTCAGCCCCAAAGATCTGTCTGCCTATGTCCGCTTCTTCACTGTTAAGATTACAAAGCACATGCCATCAGCTCAGATTTTTTCATATGGTCCTGGGGCCAACTTAGGTCCTCATATTTGCATGGCAAGCACTGTACTGAGGCACCTCTGTCCTCTTCCTCCTTTACTATTTTTCTTTTAGTTTATGTGTATGAGTGTTTTGCCTGTATGTATGTAATTGCCCCTGTGTTGTACAAAGCCCACGGAGGCCAGAATAGGGAGTTGTCCCCTGGGTCTGGAGTTAGAGGCAGTTGTGAACCACCCAGTATGAATTCCTGGGAACTGAATCTGGGTCCTTTGCAAGAGCAGTCAATACTTTGAATTGTAAGCCATCTCTCTAGTCCTGTCATCTTTTTTATTTGATTGATTGATTGATTGATTGTCTTTTTTGAGACAGGGTCTCCCTATAGCTCCAGCTGTCCTGGAACTCACTAGATAGACCATGCCCGCCATCCTTAAAAAAATTTTTTTTAAGTTATTTTTATTAATTTTTTTAACTTTTTTTTTTGTCTTTTTGAGACAGGGTCTCCCTATAGCTCCAGCTGTCCTGGAACTCACTAGATAGACCATGCCCGCCATCCTTAAAAAAATTTTTTTTAAGTTATTTTTATTAATTTTTTTAACTTTTTTTTTTGTCTTTTTGAGACAGGGTTTCCCTGTAGCCCCAGCTGTCCTGGAACTCACTATGTAGACCAGGCTGGCCTTGAACTCACAGAAATCCGCCTGCCTCTGCCTCCCGAGTGCTGGGATTAAAGGTGTGCGCCACCATGCTCGGCCCACTTATTTTTATTTTAATGTGTGTGGTATTGCCTACGTGGATGAAGATGCACTGTTGTCGCACATTGCCTCAGGAGGTCAGAAGAGGCCATCGAGTTACCATGGAACTGGAGTTATGGATGTTGTTAGCTACCATGTGGGTGCTAGGAACTGAACTCGGGTCCTCTGTAAGAGCAGTCAGTTCTTTTAACTGCTGAACGATCTCTGCAACCCAGGCTGGCATCTGACTCAGTAGTCCTGTTGCTTCAGCCTCCTGCTGGATTATAGGCTTGTACCACTCTACCCAGCTTCTGAGGGCTTTTTTCTTGGCTGTGTATGGCATGAAGGATCATTCAGTTACAAACTTGAAAGTGTGTACTCTGTCCTTAGGATATAGATTTTTGTTTGTTTTTTATTTTTTGGTCTTTTTGAGACAGGGTCTCCATGTAGCCCTAGCTGGCCTGGAACTCACTATGTGGAATAGGCTGGCCTTGAACTCACAGAGATCTGCCTGCCTCTGCCTCTGGAGTGCTGGGATTAATCTTGCCTGGCTTGGTTAGTCTGAAGTGGTTGTGCTGGCATATTTGGATGAGCATGGTAGGTCCTTGGACAAACTAGCAGTAAGTAGTCTTCTTTTCTGTGAGGACTATGCTG